CGGTGTACCCGAAAGGAGGCGGGGTGCCAGCGAGGCGGGGGTAGGGGGTGAAGCCTTTCCTCCTCCTTCTGCTCTCCTTGCACGACGGAGGTTACGGGGAGGAGGGTCTGGTTGAAAATGCTTTCTACTAGGGCGCTTGGTTGTGCTGTGGAAGTGCTTTGTTTGTAGTGTAACTGGTTGAGCCTTACAGTCTCTCGCTTTGTGACCTGGGCGCCGAGTTGGAGCGAAACGAAGGCAAAAAGGGGGAGAAAGCGGGCTTGGAGGCCTGCTTGTGACAGAAACAAGCAGTGGATTCCTTCGTTATTGGGTAGTGCTGATTAAAATGAGCGCATTTACTAGCTGAAGTCCCACGAACAACGGGGAAGGAGAAAGGTTGCTTATTCATGCCCTGCCAGTTGGCGTATGGCTTTGTTTAGAGAGCGTTCAGCTTTGAGCATTGCTTGTTGTGAGCATGATATTTACTTTACTAACTTTCCCGGAAAGCATGCAATTGCTGTCACAGCTATGGCTTTTGGGTATGTTTGTGCGGTTGTGTGAAGACACCCTGTCGTGATCTTAAAAGCTGTATTATTATTTTATAATGATCCTATAAATCAGCAGGGTTGTTTCTTACCAAAGGATATATACTTAGTATGTCAGCTGGGCCTTATTATAGCAGAGGGTGGATCTTCCACCCACTGTTATCTTCCTCAAAATATTCCCTGCACTGTGAGGTTTTCTTTTCTCTGGCTGTGCTGCACACATCATTCAGTGGTGAATTATTCCTGGCATGTCGGTGTTTGAGGATGTTTGGCATGTTTCCTGCTCCCTTCCCCCCCCCCCCCCCTTTTTTTTTTTTGGTTGGAAGTGAGGAGTGTCTTCAAATGAGCAGCTTTGCTGCATCACATCTGTTCTTACCCTCTAAAACGTGAATACTAAACCAACTGCCTTGTGATCTGTGAAGAACAGGGATATATACTGTGGTGGGGTGCTACAGCTCCTTTCTCGTGTTGCAATCTAGTTTTTAAAAGGGACCAAGAACTTTAATGCCTTAACTTACACTTAGGAAAGTGCTTTTTAAAATGTTTATGTTCTCCAAAGATTACAGATTCAGTTTGTTTCAGGTGCATCAAGCTGAGCAGTGAGAATGATTTGACACATTTAAAAATTCAGATGTATGAATTTAAAATATGTATGTGTATATGCATATATGCACAAGCATGTGTGTTACTGCCTGCCTCAGAAGCTTTTAATATACTGGTTTTAGCATAAGGAGGGTGACGCAGCTTGCAGATGTAGTTTGGAGCATCTCGTGCATTTTTAGTTCTTCCACTAATGTCAAGGAGAAATAACTGCCTTAACTAGAATTGGAAATGGAGCGTGAAGTTCTCATTTGAAGCCTTACTGTGTTTTATGACACAGGAAGCCACAGCTCCTACTTGCATTAAGACTTGCAGCAGCTTTGCATGCTGCATCTGGAAAAAAAAATTAAAGACAGTTGTGGCTTTAAAAGTGTGTGGTGTCTACAAAATAAGTAAACTGAAAACATGGCTCACCAGGCCGTTGGAAAATAAGTATGTTTCTGTGCCTGTGTTCTCAAACGGAAAGTGGCTATGTGGATTTTCACTCTTGAGTGGAAAGTGCTGCTCTGTCCCTTTGGAATAAAGCTGCATGTGAATTTATTAGTGAAATGTCAAGGGGATGTGGAGGGAGGGGGCAGTGGGTGTTTCAAGGGAGGTACTTTAAAGACCCTTCAAAATATCAAGTCGTTAAGGACAAATTATGGATTTTCCAGAGCATTCAGTGCCCAGAAGACCCCTTCAGAAATGTAAGTTCCTACAAGAGCTGGATGCTCCAGAAAATCTGCCCACTAGCATGAATGGGAGCTGACCTCCCTTGAAATATGACCCTAATGTGCATAGGAATTATTGGGAGTTTGAACTCTTTGCTGTTTTAAATCCTGTAGTAATAGGTGTGGTTTTCTCTCCTGTTACCTTTCATATCAAATCCACCTGCCTGTTACAGCAAATTATTCTGAGGAAAATGAACACAAAGTAATTGCGGTATTTTTAGCCTTTTTAAATGAAATTAGCAATTGGAAAGAAGACTAATCTATAGGGAGCAGACTTTCTAGGAACCTTTTTAGAAAGATATATTAAGTTAATATTTAGCTCATGTTGTACAATGTCATAGTAGTTGATCGCATTTAATTGTGAAATCTTTTCAGCTGAGAGGTAACCTCCATTTATATCCTCAGGGAATGTGATCTCTGGATCTTTAGGTTTGCTCTTATTGTGAACCTGCTTATATCTTTGTAATAAGGTAATTCCCCAGGCTGAAAGAAATGACAGACCCAGATTACTACTGTTTCAGGTGTTGTGTGTGTGTGGTTTTTTTTTTTTCAATACAGAATGTGAAGTTCACTATGGATACGGTAGATGTGTCATTTAAAGGATAAGCACATGCATTCACTTAAATTTTGCTGTGTCCCACACTGTTCTTATTCTTAGTATAGGAAACAGAGTAACCAGCATGCAGGGTATCTTTCATTAGACTTTTGTGCTGAGGACAACCAAATACCAGAATATACACAACAACCAGTTTAACAACTGGACAGAGCCCTGCAGCCTGCTGCTTTTTCCCCGTGGGTGCTTTGGAGCTGGCCAGTAAGAAAAATACATGTTGATGTGTATGACTGGGGTGATTTTTTTTTTTTTTAAAAAAAAACAAGAGCTATGGCTAACAGAAATAGGTGGGATTCATAGCATGCTTTAAAGCACCTAACAAGAGTTCCTGGTAAGCTGTTTTCAGTGGGAAATTGCACAGCTGAGGAGCTGCAGCTAGAAAATTGTCTCCCTCCCTCATCCATCTCAGACCTGTCTCAGTCAAAGTGACCACAGCTGACTGTGTGACCACAACTGACAGGCAAGGATAACGGGGTAAGAGATGAACTCTCATTGCTTAGGGCTTGGATTACAAAAGGCTTTACTGCTAATGCTTAGAGATTGAATTAGCACCAAGCTTTAGAAGCAAACTGAAAGCACCTGTTTTCTGTCTGCTCGGAATGGTAAAATGAACCTTGTTTTCTTGAGGAATCTATGGCATTTCAGGGGTTACCTTTGGCTTTAGCTGTTGTGCTGAGATAGTAAATGCTGCTGCTGTAAATTGCCTTAGTTTGAAACTCGGCATGATGAGTCGTAAGACCTGATGTGTAGCAGCTTTCATCTTCTTCTCTGTTCTTTCTCTTATTTCTTCTTCCCATTACAGAAAAGCTTTAGTCAGCTCCTAGCTCAAGCAGAGGAATTCTTGATGTCTTATTAGTCCAGCATGTTTAACAAATAACCCAAGCCCTTTATGATTAAGGGTGACAAGGGAGCATTACTAAATCTTTCAGATGTTTACTCTGAAATAAAAACTGATACATACACACACACATATATATAGAAAAATGTGTATGTTCTTAATATATGTGTGTATATAGCTATCTTTTTTTACCTCCACTCTTAAGCAGAAGAACGCTGTTGTCATTACTGAATTCAGACTGTGTAATTCCTTAGTCGTCTTATTGCTTTATTTTTCCTTCCCATGTTGCTATGCTCTCTGAAAGCCCTGACTTTCATTGAGTGTAGTAGAAAAGGTAACACCTGAGTTCTGGCAAGTTATATCAGATGCATTAGGGTCTTATCTGGCTGTTGTTGTCAGGGGCCAAGCTGTGGGTGTGTTGCTCCATATAAACTACTTTTTCTTGGGGGAGTTCTTGCTGCAGCTTAGGGATGTGTGCATGTGCGCATATGCATAATTGGTTGGGAGGAATGTGTATGGTTTTGCAAAATCCTTCTTGACCTGGCTTTATCAGATATGACACAGTTCTGCGTTGACCAGCATACTAGAAATACCCCTGTCAGTCTGCTCAGGACTGGTTTGACCACCTTTGAGATAGTTTTTAAAGACATCTTTAAGTAATGGCTCCAAATGTGACATTAGTGGTCTAAAAGTTCAGATTTGGAGCCATTAGTTCCAAAACAAAAAAAAAGAAATAGAGTTGTGTTGAGGAGGAGGTTGCTTTTTGCTTTTGAGGTAGAGTGCTTTTGTTGAAATGAAAGAACTTGAGGCTGCTGGATTTCAGAATGCTTTCACCACCGTACAAATGGAGGTCGCCAGGGCACTAAAGCACTTAGTATCTGAGCTGTCTTGATTCTTGTCTGTTAGTTTGCCTAATGATAGAAATTCTTTTTTACTGTAGCTGCACAGGGCTGACTGATTTGGGCAGGAAATGCTTTTTTTTGGCTAGTTCCATCTTCTGCTCAGAGTGGCTCATCTCTAAAGGACCACTTGATGAATATTTACTTCATGTGCTCTCCTCTCCCTATTTCCCTTTCCCAGGAAGGACAAAGCTACATGACTTGCTGAAGAGAGATAAAATGCTATGCTGGGGATACTCGTCTTTTGGACAGCCTGGGATAGGTAGCAACCTCCAGGTCATCATTCCTGAACCGCAGGTGTATGGATTCATTCATGACAGGAATGTCAAGGAGGTGGCATGTGGAGGAAACCATTCCATCTTCCTGCTCGAAGACGGGGAAGTATATACCTGCGGCTTGAACACCAAAGGCCAACTGGGGCATGAGAGTGAAGGAAGCAAGCCAGGTATGTCTTTTTTTAATACAAGGCTATAAACCAGCTGGGACTGGTAGGCAGAAAAGGTTATGGTAGCTGCTCTGTGTTGAGTGCCGTGGAGCTGGAGCAGCTAATGGAGCTAAGGTCATGTGTCATAACAGAGTGATGATGCTGAATAACGTTTGCTTGCTCTTGAAAGCTAAATCTGAGCAGCATGGGTGGGGAGGCAGGTCTGCTCAGTTTGTCTGGGAAATACACCAAAATAGAGGCGAGTGCAGATGGTATCAGGGCAGACTTTGTTATTTGCCATTAGTGTGCTGTATTTTGAAGGGGAAGAGAGGGCCACGAGTCATGCTGTCTTCTGCTTTGCTTTTCTGACTGTGTTGCATCCCTATGCCTGCTCTCTTTCAGTCATTGCTCAGAGTTTATCATTTGTACTGAAGAGAACAGGCCTGTGTTGAGCATAGTTGTGCAGAACGAGCCCTCTCTGGCTGAGAGGGATTACAGATGTTTCCCCCTCCCCCCTTCCTTGGAAAGCCTTTATCCACTTGTACCCTCTCCACTTCTCCCCCTTGTGTTGTCTTAACTCTGGAAGAAGGTCGTTGTACCCTTCTGTTCCCCAGACTCAAATAGCATTTTTATAATCGTGTTCCCACAGGCAGAACCTGTGTGTGCAAAACTGCAGGCAGCTAATGCCTCTCCTTTCCAGAGTCTTCAAGGAGTGGTTTGTCTGTATTTTTTTTATTTTGAGGACCACTGAAACCTTTCCTATAGCTTTGGTTTTGAATATTAGCTTCCCAGGTCATTTTTGACTTCTGTCTTGTTTTTGGCATGTGGTGAAGATATTGGTTTCTCAGTTTGCATGTTTTGGTGAAAAACAGTACAGGATAGGTTAAATTCTCAACCTTCCTCCCAAGTAGGTTCCCAGGCCAAGTCCCGGGTGGAGATTCAGCTCTTGCTCCTGCTTCTGAACTTGGGGTTCTCACTACAGCTGGAACACTGTGTCCAGTGATTTTATGTTGGTAATAAATAAATAATAAAAAAAAAAAAACACCAACCCTTCGTGGTACTTAGAACAATAGACGTCATCTTTCCTCAAATTGCTGACTATCCTTCTGTAGGGCTGGGGGCTCTTCTAGCTTGCCTTATTTTTCCATGACAGACTTAAGAGACATATACAAAATATCCAGAGTTCCCTATGTAGTATGTGTAAGCGTGAGCTGGCTGACTCCATGGTTCCTTTTCTCTGAGGGTCTTTTGCCCCTTTCTCTCAAGCACCAGATAGATTTTTCCAGCCGTGATGCTGGATTAGAGGAGTTGACGTTGGTTCTGACCTCTTGCTTTTCCTACAAATTTTCTCCAGGCAGCTTCTGAGGGAGGTTATCAGGAGTGCTTAAGTCTCCTCTGTGCACAACTGCTGTTCCCCTACACTTGTGAACTTAGGCACTGGAATTAATGAGATGCTTTGTAAAAGGAATCCAAGCCTAGTGGGTATTCTGCTGTGTCTGGTGCAAATACTTCCCCTTGCTAGTCCACTAACTAGCTGCATGGCTTTAATGCAAACCCCAGAAATTCAGTACCGTTATGCTAAGACATATACTCTGAGCACTATCTTTGGGTTAGTCTGCCGTTTACTCATAAAACTAAACAAGCACATGATGGTAAGGAAAATGGAGGCCATATAGTGAGTCAAGGACCTGGGTTGGAAATGGAACTCGTGAGTCCCGAAGCAGGCCTCTGGCCATTAGGTAATCCTGCCTTCAGGTAGGACTGTAGAAAAGGGGCAGTCTGAGATCAGGCGAGTGAAGGACAAAGTTCTTGTGAACCTGTGACTGAGGCCATGTTGAAGAGGTGTGTGGGGCATGTCAGGTTCTGAGCTGTTAGTGGTGAAGATGACAGAGAAGATTACCAGTGTATGTGAGGGTGAGAACAGGAGAAGTGCATCGAGTTGGGGGTCCTATAGTTATATAGTTTGACCTTCTGCTCAAACTTCGAGGGACAGGGCAGTGTGGGCCTGAGTCCTATTGGTTTTACTGCCTTATGACTTGATTCTGTTTAGCCTATGAGGGCAGCCAAGAGCGGCCTACCTTTGCCCAGCCCAGGAATGAGCTGGATCTCCTTGTGGGAAGGCTGGGAGTATAATTCTGGTTGTTCCCTCCAGGCAACCTCTGCTGTCTAAGCACCTGGAGACCCCCATCTGGACTCTAGAAATGCTTACTGTGGCATGGCTTGGTTGTGTTCGAGAGTAACATCAAGACAGGAAAATATTTGAGGAGCCTGAACCTTTTGAAAACAGTGGCAAAATGTTTGGTGACCCCAAAGGAGTGAAAAGGTCTCCTTCCTGCTGTCCAGATCTAGTCGCAAAAAAGAAACCCCCTTTTTTCTCCCTCACTTGTTTTTTTGTGAGACTTAAGCTGCCAACATCCTAAAAGCTTCCATTAGTGTTTTCAGTATATGTGATCATGTTGTTTAATCCGAGATGGTTAGTTCCCATGACGTCACCTTACGCGTAGAACTCTGGGACTTGGCGGTGCACTCGGCGTTAATTTAACAGTGTTCTTGAAAAGCTTGAAGGGTTTTTACTGCTGACTCTAGTGGCAGAAGATTTGTTATAGTTGCACTAAGTGCTGTTCAAGATTTCACCTCCCTTTCTTCCCTTACTACAAATTCCAAATAATTTGCTCTTCTATTTTTGTTCTGTCTTCCATTACAGATATCTGTAGCAGGAGGCTACTATTTAAATCTTGCTTCTCATTCATGCTGCTCACAAGAACATCAAGCAGTGGCACAGAATTGTGTTTGGGTAATTCCTCTTAGAGGAGTCCTTTAGAGAGTACTTTTGAATGAAGAAGCTTGTTAATTGAAAAGCTATGTTTATTGTCACATCAGCTGAGCTTGTGGATGTAATGCAGAGATAGGACGGCAACTGGCAGGGTGGTTGTGCCCTTCCACGGAGGGGAACAGAAATTTACTGGGAAGTACATTCCACTGAATGAGAGGTATTAGTCGACAGAGGCTTCTTTTCTGCAAGTGCCCTTCCTTGTAATTTAACTCTTAGGAGTAGCAGATCAGAAATCTTAGTAGTGATGGTTAAGAGCTAAGTCTCCTGTTTTGCAAAATTGGTCTGAGTTTGCAGTGATTTTCTGAGCAATGTCAGGTGTTAACGTACATTATGTCCCCAAAGGGAGTGGTAACTTTGTAGTGCCTTATTTTTAGGAAACAGGACAAATGTTTTTCCTAACTGTAGCTAAATTTCCACTTCTTGAGCTCTGAAATTACATTCAGGTTGATTTTTTTTCTTCAGGTCTGGCATGGTGTCTTGACTCCCTCTGACTCTTAGCTGATGAAAAGTGTGTCTTATGTAAATATCAATGCATGTGCTGGGCAGCAAAAGACAGGCCCAGGTATCCCAGGTAAAGGTTCCTGGGAGGTTTATGCTGAACTCTACAGGAGTTTGAAGTAATTAGCTGGATATTACTCATTTCTAAAGCTTTAGAAACATGGTCAAGTGTTTGAGGTGTGGAACTTGCTGTCTAGTCTAGAGATTTGCTCTCTGCCGCTCTTTCAGGCTTCATTTGCATTGTGCTATTAGGAAATCTTGGGCTTTGGAAATCAGTGTCCCAAGAGGCTTGCGGAAAAATATCTGCCAAAATCTGCTTTGCACTTTTCCTCTGGTAACATAGAACAGGCAAAACTGTGCTTGCTCTTTTAATTATTTTTTTTATTATTACCAAATTTCCTGTCTGGATGCCAATGTGCAGGGTAGCAATGCCTCAGTTTGCGCTGTGGAATCTATCAGTTCACAGTCACAGGCTGGAAATAACTAAGTTCAATCTCAAAGGAAAAAAAGAACCCCCCCCCCCAAAAAAAAAAAAAAAACCCCAAACAGAACACACTACTAAATGATCCAGACTCCCTGGATTTTTCTGAACATGGCAGCCTTGCTTCTCAAATGTAAATGCAAATATAAATCCTGAACTCGAGCACAGGGTTACAGTGACCAGAAACCTTGATGCTCACTTTGGCATGCCTGTTAATCATAAACCCTGCAACAGCTGGGAATTCAGATGCAGAACCTGCCTGGAAGGACAGCCTGCATGGCTGTTTCTGCCCTTAACCTCTTCCTGGTGGGTGAGGAGTTAGCTGGGTGGCCCAGGTTGCTCACAAGTAGGAGGAGGGGTGGCAATGCTGGAAGCAGCTGCAGGAGTGAGCAAGTCACAGATGAGACATAGCTGCTGCATGGAGTAGGTGAGGTTGGGAGCCACTTATGGGCAGGGTCACAGTGACAGGAGGATGTTTAGTTTGCAGTCCTATTCCCTTGCCTTTCCTTTCCTTTGTGCAAGGACTGAAACAAGAAAAAGGGGCCTTAAACACCAGTTATCCCAGGAGCTGCTCCTCTGTGCACACCCTGACTAAACAGGCTTTTTGCCAAAGGATCCAAGACAGTTTTTTCACCTGGTCTAGGCATGGAGCTGAGGCTCGGTATGCAGCTATATCAATGCTTTCCAAGTGCTGTGGTCCAGGAGAGTCCAGCTTCATGTCTGTCACGCTTCCTCTACGCTAGCAAAGCGGAGCCTCATGTTTTAAAAGGTGCAGCAGAGACATGGCAGCCGTCACTCCTGTCAGGGACTGGGAGGACATGCCTGGAAACAAGCAGGCTGAGGTATCTGCTGGGAGGGAGGGATGGAGCCATCTGGGGGACAGATGGGCCATGGCAAAGTCAGACCTTCTGTGCTAGCTTGCAGCAGCTGGTTTTAAACCTGGAAAATAGCAAATGAAGGATTAAGACTAACTTCTGTCATTTTTCCAAATGGCATCTGCAGTAGTTACTGAAACATTTTTAAACTGGCCACCTCTTACGGAGTTGGATATACTTGTTTGTTTTTACCCCTTTTCCTTCACTGATAGTTCACAGGATCCAGTCAAGCTATTTGGAGTTGCTATGCCTTAACTAGTGACTGCAGCAGCATCTAGGAATGTGGAATTGCATTATGGAGTGTCCTCAGATGAATCAGTGCAAGTTGGGTTCT